GAAGATTGATTGGTATTTCAACCGCAAGTGAAACGTTCAAGGCGTACACTCGAACGAGTTTCTTGGTTTTACATTATTTTATGCAATGCTTTGAACATCTGGATCTTTTCGGCAACTTCACTCGTCTTCACCAGAAAGAAAGCCACCACATATCGTGAATAAACTCCAGAAATTTGAAATTGAGCTTAGCACCTCCTTTTGAAAGTGGCTTCATGGTTTCCATCATGTTTGCGCGAATTAATCACAATACACGTGACGTCTTTGTCATAGAGCGTCCTGGAAATGCTTCAATTGTCTGCTTGCTCTCCATGCATCCACCGCACAAGGTCTGGATAGCTTGTTTTTGCAAAAGCATACCTTCTGTGGATCGCAAAGTCTTCACTAAAACACCCTCGATTGGGTGTTTCATACGAGCGTGCCACAGCTCCCACTGACGATCAGCTTCCGAGTATTGCGTCGTTTGTGCCTCCTCTTGCTGACAATTCAGTGTGTAAGCTATTCAAGCTCTTTTCCCAGTTACCAAAGCATAGTTCTTGTCCCAAATGATGCACGAAGCACGTTGAAAAACTCCACCCTTTCCCCACGTTTGGCAAGCTTTCCCATATTCTACCATTAATTCGCTAGTGTTCCTATTTCTTACATTATCCGAGCCGTAAGTATTTGGGTATCGAAGTCACAAGTACTGGGCTAAGTCTTGATTGTGGTGTACCAACCTCGTACTTGAATGTTCTAGACTGCTTCAATCACTCGAGCGAATATCATCAATTTTCACATAAATTCAGTCTATGGCTGATGTGTCTTACAATCGTGACGCTACACGCCTGTACGAAAAAGTGAGCTGTGATCTGCAAAAATTTGTCGGCTCATCCAACTGATCACGAAGTTTGGACTAAAGACGACAATCTATTTCACAAAAGCAGAATCAAAGATCAAAATGGAGTCTTATCATCTGCGTCGATCGAAGGATATGAATCACGATCGACAGAGTCAGACGGAGAGCTCCATCCGGCAGAGCAAAGAGCTTTCGATGGCCATCACTCGCACTAACTGATCAGTAGATAAGTGAATCTTGAAGGTGTTGCGATAACTTTACAATAAAATGACTAATATTGCTCTGGATTGGGCATGATTCGGCGCATTACTACATAGTCAACCGCTGACGATTTGGCATTTGCGACCACTGTCGACACGTATTGGTATCATAACACCGCTCAATGCGCTTACGGGACAAGCGAAACATCACAAGAAGTACGGTAATGCGTTGGGCGAGAGTCATAATTGCAAATATGATTACGGACGTAGTGGCAGATCTCTATTGTTTGAAAGTATCAGGTTTCAATCATTAGGCTTATAGGTAGCATAGTGTAGCGAGCCAAGAATCTTATAAATATTCACTTCGGTTTTTTCAACAAACCAACAGATTCACAGCCGCAATCAGACCAATAGCGCCTGCACACGACAATGACATCCGAGCGAATCAAAGTCCTTGTAGACAGTAAAAATACTTTCACTGGGAATTTCTCATGCGCAAGACGTTGGCGCGCAAGTGGTTTGTTAGTGCATGTTCAAGTGACCAAGAGGGAGAAGGAAATGACGGATGTTTGGTTATTTACGACGCCAAGGCACTGGAAATCATCGCCAAAGGCATCGGGTTACAGCACCAGACCACGATACGGTCTATGACGACGGCTATGCAGTCTTGGGTCACTATGCGGGAATTGCACAATCGCACCACGCTTCACAACCGCGTCGAGATGACACGCCGTCTCCATGACTTGATAATGGAGAGTGTACGACAGTGCCCAAGCAAACAGGCGCCTTCGATGAGCTAGCTCTAGGTCTACAGGCACTTTAAGAACCGGTTGACTATTAGCGGAAGCTAGTGGTACCCTTCCAACAGAGTTCGAGATAATTGTGTCTGTTATGGAGAACACCAAGGTCATTACACTCATCGAAGGCAAAGAGAAGTTGTTAAACTATCGTGAACGGCTGTATAAGAAGGAGACCACAGAGAAAGTTTTTTCTGTCCACGGTCATGGTGAACAGTTTACGGTCAAACGTGGAAACGGGCGAAAGGGGGACGACGTAAGGAAGAACTAGGGTAGTTCAAAGAGAAGGTGCTTCAAGTGTAATCACGATGGTCTTTATTGCGGGACTGTCCGGGTGGACAATGGAGCTGAGGATTATGCTCGTTTTGCTACTCAACGGATGATTAATCGATAGCGGCACGACATAGCACATGACTCCTTACCGAGAAGACCAATTCGACTATGACGTGTCGGCCTCTGACATCGATATGACTGTTGCAACACGGCACAACATTGCGAGTCTTAAACAAGTAACTGTTTAGCTGACTGGGACTAATGGCAGGCTGATCAAGATGTTGGATGTACTGTACATTCCAGGACTCGACAGACGGTTGCTCTCGGCTGAAAAGCTTGCAGAACGCGGCCTACGGCTTGGGTTTTCTCATTTGTCATCTGGGGCTTGAGCAGTGCTGTGACACTGGGCAAAAAGGTCGTCAAGTTCTATGTGCTTGCCTGCGAGCAAGAAGAACCGCGGCTTGTTGAGAATCCGGGGCTGACAACCAGAGGGAGATCTGACACGCTCGCATGGGACATCCAATCGAGAGTGGTTTGGCTAAAAAATAGCGCGCCACGTACGCCAGCCGTGAGTCGTGACATCACGACTTTATGTGTTGAACGCATTTAGGGAAAGCTGACCGTGTCGAAATATGCATCACGATCGACGTCCAAGATACCACGCGTATCGGAGTATGTTTACATTGATGTGATGCGAACAATGCGAACAATTTCAAAAGGAGGTTTAAGATATGCATTGAAATTTGTGGATGGTTTCACTCGTTATATGGGCGCGAATTTCATGATGAACAATAGCGAATTTGCCACTAAACTTGCCAAATTAAAGGTACTCTACGGAGGCTTAGGAGGAGAACAGATCAAGTGTCTCCACTCTGACAATGAAACGAGTTCATGAACTGAAAGGTCACATATATGTGTAATCAGCACGACATCATGCACCGGCGTATGGTACCGTTCAGTCCACAGCAAAACAAATTGACGGAACGGATAAACCGTGCGGTCTTGAAGAAGGCTCGGGGCATGCTGCACTAGCTGTGAGCTCCACAGTGTATCTATTCAATCGGTCTATAAATATTGAGCAATCTAGTAGGATGCCAAATAAACTAGGCATCAAGAGAAGACGCGAATGGAACACCTGCGTGTGTTTGGGTCGCAAGGGAACGCTCATACTGGCAATGCAAGATAGACGAAGCTTGATCCAAGTGTTTTAGTTGTGTATTTCTCGGGTACGCAAAGAACACAAAGGAGTACCGTGTCTACAACGTGATAGCGTCTAAGGTCAAGGTAGCACGATCAGTAACGCTTGACGAGCGCAAAGCGAACGATATATACGATACTCCGTGTCCAGAACAAGATACTATAATCCATGTAATTAAAAAGAGAGATGCAGCAGCCCACGATTTTGGGTGACCGACGTCCGGTGCCGAAAAAACCATGAAGAAGGTTTTTTTTACGTCGAATATGGTCGAGTCGGAAAAGGATACTAGAATGCAACAGCATCTGGCACTAGATGATGGGTCACTAGCTAGGCAGGAACTGGCAGAATACTGTGCTCTACATCCCTTTTAAGAGGATCGTGTGGTATTCTGCTCGGGTGAACAACGAAAAAGGCGTTCTGGGGAGCCAGTATTCTACTAGATGACGGCTAGGTACTGGATGACTAGCAAAGGTCAAAAGGGAGCAACGGCTTACCAGCCCGAAGCGTCCAAGAATACTTGAATATGGATTACTTGCCGAAGTAGTATTGGCGTATGCGGTAAGTATCGATGGTGCTCCTGACACTCCGAATATGTACGTTATAACAATCTAAAGGCATGATATGGTCGCATGGCGGGAGGAAATGAAGGCTGAACTGCTATCACACAAAAAAAATGATGCTTTGCGCTTGTACCGCGTACAACGGCTCATTCGATATGGTGTCGGTTGGTATTCGCCGCGAAGCGCAACGAGATCGGTCGGGTTGTACGCTACAAGGCACGGTTGGTGGCCAACGGGTTTAAGCAAAGTACGGTATAGATTTCTTTGAGACGGACTCCCTCTTAGCAAATATGAGCTCAATTCGCGTTGTCATCGGATTGTTCCATTTCATAAGCTTCTGCGGTGCATACCGACACCACAGAAGCGATGTATACGGCATTCCAAAATAGCGAACTAAATGACCGTATACACACGAAGGTTTTGGTCGGTATTAAAAACACTGGCGAACACGTTTGTCTGCCGAGCAAGGCCACAACAGAAGAAGCATGCGCCTGGAACAAGTCTATTCACGTTGTCTTCGCGGAAGTTTGTTTCAAGGACTATGCTGTGAATCATAGCGTGTATGCGAAGACTTTCAAAAAAGGTTCATAATATGTCTGTCTGTACGTGGATGATATGATAGTTATAGCAAAGCCCGTGCTGGGTTCCGGGAAATCAAGATGCTCTTAGGAACGTTTTGAGATGAAAAACTTGGTGACGCGAAATTTGTGTTGAATTGAAGATCGACCACGACAAGAGAGCCGGTATGCTGATGATCGAGCAGACACGGTATATCTATGACGGAGCGATGTGGCCTCAGCAAAGCGCCAAGATGATTGACCATCCTTGTTTTTCAAATCTCAAGCTGTCTAAAATCCAGCCGCCAGGAATAGATACAGAAGTTACTGAGATACAGTCAATACCGAACCAATCGCTAATTGAATGTCTTATTCTCAATATGACGTGTACCAGGGCGGACATTGCCTACGTCGTAACGCAGTTATCAATATACTTCTAGATTCCAGCACTGGCGAGTTGCGTTTCATCTGCTTTGGTATGTGAAGACAACACGCTTGCATGGAATCTTGTACAAAATTGTGCTGGTGAGATATTAGTTGAAGCATTTACGGACGCTGATTAGGGAAACAACATCGACGACAAGTGTTTTGTATCAGGCGTGGTGGTCAGGATCGGAAATGGTCCAGTGATGTTCAAGTCGAAGATTCAGAGAAACGTTGCGCTGAGCTAAACAGAAGAAGAGTATATGTCGCTGAGCTTATGCACCCAAGAGTTACTGGACGCGCTCGATGTTAAAGGACATGGTCAAAGGCCAGGAATTGACTACTTAGACCGTGAAAGACAACTAAGGAACAATAGCACTGGCAAAGATCGCTGATTTTCATGCCAGAAATAAGCATGTGGAAATAAATTATCACTTCACGAGAAAGAAAGTTGAGAGCGGAACGGTCAGAATCGACTACATCGACACGAGGAACCAACTCGCGTATATGCATACCCAGGCACTCGGAACCAAGGCTCTCACGGCTCTACGCAGAAGCATAAGTATCAGGACAAAGCGAGAACATAACCGTATTAAGCATTAGCGGTGAGTGAAAGTGTTACAATGACGCCACTAAGACTTTTACGGGGCGAGCGATGACATCACAAGGTTTACGGCAATGCGTACGGTCAGAGTTATACTTGCAGATTTGATTGCGGACGAAGTGGCAGCTGGACATTGGTTTAGATAACTCTGGTAACATTTAACAGGCTTAAGGGTAGCACAGTGTAGCGAATTAAGGACCTCATACATATTCACTTCAGTTTTAGTCAACAAACAACGCAATATTGGACAACACGGTATATAAAAGACAGATAACTCTCACACACTATACATTGGCACCTTGGCGTAATCAAAAATGTATTTTGGATAGCCTGTTATTACTATACAATAAGATGAACCGCATATTAGAGGTGGAACCTTTTCGTGCGATCGTAGCAAATCATTAGGGCTTTAGAGAGACACACTCTTTGGAATTTTGATATGTCTAGCTCAAAATGAACTTAGCGAATGATGAACAACCAAAGCCACTTGTCGCACATTGATAGTATATTAAGGCGCAGAATCCTATGATTGCGATTAAGTGCCATATCCATTGACAAACTATATACTAGTATTGAAAAAAACTTATAAAAAATCATTGATCAAAACAATAGCGTGGCATTGCCAGTACGAGCGCGGTTTTCATATTCACGTCGTGTTTGATGTTGCAAAACGGAAGCATCTACTTCATCTTATTGCATGTAAATCACATTGAATCGCTCTTGTACGTTCATTAAGTATTAAGTACAGATCGCAAAATTCTCACGATAAAATGTAACGAAGACAATCATAATGCTGGCTCACTGCATTTTTAGCTATTACTCTTAGATTCGG